AATACAGAGTTCTACTGGATAAATACCCAACAACTGGTCCTGCTTGGAGGGCAGGAACATACTTTTTCACAGAGAGTCCAGTGGACACATTTATTAAAAGTCTCAAAGTCCACGGTAAGAAGCCCACTGGTTAAAACATCTCATCTTCCAACTATTTGACTTTTGTAGGCTCAGTGGCATGTATCTCCCTTGGAAGGAGAGCTATAGCTCCATCTATGAACAAGAGCAACACACACGCAGCTACAGAGTATCTAAGCGGATGAAATATGGAAGAGGAGAACCATTTGCAGAACAGAGCAATCAAAAACACTTCATGAAAAGGAAAAAAAGTCTTAAAGCAGGCAGACTTGTATATACAGTCATTAACCAACAGAAGTATTTGTAGCTGCAGATATAATAGCAGGACATTCATCTTCTTTGGGAGAAGACAGAAGCACGGTTGCTGGAAAGTTTAACTCCAAGGCTTCCTAGATCAGTTAACCTGGAAGGCAGATCACCAATATCTAGTAGGTTTGAAGCAGATTTTTTCCTTTTTCCAAGGAAGTGGCAGAGCATAAGAATCTCATCCCCTGATCCAAAGCAAGTTTTCAAGAACACCTTTCTCAAATACCTCTACATCCTATTCCACAGCTGTCCAAGAGCTGCCAGCCATCATCCAGGAGGGAGTCAGAATTATGGGGGAAGTGGTGAAGGGCAAAGGAAAAAAAGCCCCTTTTTCTAACAGAGACTACTTTCATTTCAACATAACAGGATCTGAGCAGCGCAGTGAAAAAGCCAAGAATTTTTTTTTTTTTTAAATGTAAACATTCTCTGCATAAGGTGCAGGGTCTTGGATGTATGCACACTGACATAGAAAAGAGTCTGTAAAATATAGATCAAGAGTCAGAAATGTAGCTACCACTTAGGCTTCTGAAGAAGAGAGACATGGAGAAACGTACAGCATTCAATTTGTCAACACTTACACAGTGAAAATGCTTTCACAACTCCATGGCTAAAAGCATCCCACCATTGTAACAAAGATTATTTTTTTTTAATAGTTTTTAAAAGTTTTTACATTATTTACTAACAATGGATATATATGCAGAAGCACATCATACTACATCAATATTTTAATCAATCAGCCATCTGCTTTACCAAAGGTTATGCACATTGCCATGTGTTGCCTCGTTGCTCCGATGAACCCTTCTTTCCTCTAGTCCCCAAAGCAACTTAGGAACTTTCTGTGAAAGGCAAAGAGGAGCTGGGTTTTGTTTGGTTGCTCCTGGGGTGAGGTTTTTTGTTGTTACTATTACTTTTAGCATTGGGGTGTCTATTAAAAAACTTATTACACTGCTGACTCACATCATTTAGTTTTCCAAAATACTTCCCAGATCCAGAGAAGCAAAGGCTTTCAGAAAACCATAAAAGTTCTTACAGTGCAGCTATTCCAAGCTGTGTTTCCTGCAGGACACCAATAAACTGTGATGCCCCAAAAGCCAAGGTAGTCACTGAAACTTTTGGGAGCTGGATGCTCTGAAGAAGCAGCTGTCACTTGGCTGTGGAAGATGACCCTGAGCATCCTTCTGTAGCGCATCGAGTAACGTACCTACAGCATCTGCGCTTTTCTGGAGCTCCCTCGCCCCAGCAGACTACGTGTGTTCATGCCTCTCTGCCCTTCAAGCTGTTCAGGAGTGTGGACTTTCACTAGATTATTACTTCTAGGTCAGGCAGAAGCAACAATAAAGAGTATAAAAATCTGAATCATGTCAAACAGACTTGTCACTAACACGGTAAAAAAATGTTATCTACTGGAATCAGTTCACAGCCAGAGCTAATCAGGAGTCACACAAAGGGATGATGGGCCTAACAAATAAAAAAAAAAATTAAAAAATCCTATTACTCCTCACTTGTCTGTCCTTGGCATTGCAGTTCATGTCTGCGTGCGTTAAAAAAACCACACGGTGCGGGGCAGCACACCAACTGGCATGGCAAAACACACGCTGCCAGCAACGCTGAGCTGCAAGCTCAACACACGCTAACACTGCAAAACAAACACGCACACACCAGTGTGCTCCCACCCAGCCTCCCCGTGAGCAGCCACTGGTGTCCACCACGCAGACCTGCCCCAGCCCTTCTCACCAGCACTGCCAGCTAAACAGTGGTTTAGTACTTGGTTAGTCTCACTTCAGCCATGCCTACTCTGCTCTGCAATTAAAGCCTGCCCTCCCTCCCTCCTCGCACACGGGGAGCCCCACGCTGCCCCAGGAACCCACAGGAACCCACACGAGTCCCACGGGAGCCCCAGCCCAGTCCCCTCCACCGGCATTCGCACCGAAGACCATCTCGTGGGACAAAGACAAGGCATTTCAGAGACAGAAATTACTGTCCTCTCAATGTATATTGCAACCTTTAGTTATATACACGGGATATGCTAGTCAACATGCTGTATGCCTGTATGCCTTCATTACTATTTTTCTTAATATCTCTATATATTTTGAAACTTGGAATTCTTTCCTAATACAAATCCTGTAAAATTTGTTTCCAGCAGGGTATGCGCTTAACAAATCTGTCATTTTATACAGAGGAGGTTGAAAAGTCTTCACTTTCACCTGTAAAAGCATTTTACCATTGCATTTTTTCTGTTTTAGGTATGTGCTTAAGGGACAAGACGGGGGAGAGGCTGTTAGAGAAAAGAGTATTTTCATTAATCAGTTCTCTGTTCTACACAAAGTCCACTGATGACATGGCCTTTGTATCATCATATCATCACCTTGCTCCCCAACATAAAAGCAATTAATATAAACCACGGCCATCTATAACAGCATAGTAAAACTGAACCTTTTCCAACTAAGAGGGGGGAGAGGGGAAAGAAGGAGCTCTCCCAGACCCTACGGACTGTAATCTCACAAACAGTACATGGTGACAATTGCCTGAACAAAAATAGGAAGAAAAAAAAAAAAATCAACAAAATGTATCCTACAAAAAAAAAAAAAAAAGTAGTGTTTTAGTGTTCACAGTTACAGAACTGTCACCCTGGTTTGCTCCTCCTCAAATCTATTATGATTCTCCCCCTTCCAGAAGGGACTGCAGGGAAATGACATCGTAAAGATCATTTATACAGAGATGTAAGTTATGCCTTAGGAGACAAGTAGTGGGTCCCTGGCATGAAACCATCCTTTGCCCAGTGAAAATCCAAGAAATTTTTGAGTTGTTTATATATCAAATATTTTTTTTCCCTCTGGACTGCAAAAGATCTGTCTGCCAAAACCCAGTATAGTAAATCATATTTGTCTCCACAATAGAAAAATTTTGTTATAGATTAGTATTTATCAGCTTTGATTTCATCTTTAAAAGGAAAATCAAATCGCTTTGGTGTTTATGAGAACACAGAATGAGTTTTTCTTTGCACAGCTCTGCCACTGCACTTCAGTCATTCTGTACCAAATTGGGCTAAAGGAGCTGTCAAAAAACCATAGGCTTAATACAACATGGGGACCAAAAAGAAAGCCACATTTATTTGGGGTAGGGTGCAAAATGCCTATAAAATGTGGATCTGTTTTCCATCCAATGTAAATTCTGTGCCTGCTTCCACCTGCTGGGAAAGACTCGTGATGTTGTACAAATGACCTCTGCTCGTTCTGGCTCTATGCTGATGCTCATGGAGCAAAAACTCCCTTCAAGTTGGAGCAACTTGAGTTCTATGGAGTTAAATGAAGGAGCAAAAGTAACAAGTTTAAAATTGTCGACGTAACCCACTAGTTTCACTAGCAGACAAGAAAGAGCTGGGAGAGCTGCAGCTTTAGACCACTGCTTCAGAGACGGAAGACACAAACCAATAAAAATACGCTATTCATACCTGAATAGCACATTTGACTTTGGAAGAAGTGAAGTCATTTCAATGACGGCTAAAAAACCCAGGCAAACTAGAAATCATGTTTAAAAGGAACAGAGCATTTGATCTCAACCAAAGGCATTACCAGATGGGTGCAGAGGGTCCAAAGGAACACAGAGAGCATCTCTGACCGAGGGAACAAGCAATTAGATCCCCCTCCCCCTCAAATATGCTCCAATTCAGATTTTTGAGACTACAAAAGGATTTGTCATTTGCCAAAAGGGCTCCTCTTACATTCTGAAGGGAAAGCACTGGCTGTGAACCGCCACCGTCATGCTCTGGGCCGCAGCGTGTGTCGGTGAGGATACCTCCAGTCATCCTGGCTGGAGAGTCACCAGAGCTAGAAGACTGGCTGCTGCTTCGAATGACACATGAAAAGCTGAAAACTGTGTGCTGTCGCATCCTCCTTAACATCTTCCATGCTTTGTGGCCTCTAGAAACTGAGCAGGGGAAGTTGCAATCCATTGCATCTGGGTGTCATTGCAATTAAACCTAGACCTATTACACCAGTACCATTTGACAAAGGTGATGCACCTAATGCTTAAGCACAGACCAGTGCATCACTCACCTTAGCTAGCCTGATCAAAGCTTGTTTTAATGATCTGAGTGATATACAGTAATTCAGCAGGCACGTATTCAGGTGCCGGTCAGCCAGTAAACTTCAGGCTAAGTCAGTCCTGTAGCAAGTAAGTTTACAGTACAGTACGTGAGAGTATACATTGACTAAGTTATTGCCTAAGGCTCTGGCGGGCTGCGTTGCCAGCTCGGGAGCCAGCAGTGGCACAGGACTGCGTTGCCATCTTGGAATGTACAATTGCTCGGTCTGAGCATCACCAGGAGCTGCCTGCGTGGGACGGAGACCGATCCCCCAGCCCAGCTCCGCTGCCTGAGGCTGGCTGTGCCCCAGCGGTACCTGGGCGAAGCATGCGAGTTAGGTCAAACCAGAAAGGATCCCTGTGAACAGGCAGTGTGGGACTTACCCAGAGCAGCTGCAATTTTTGCATGAACTGTATGTGGTGCTGATATGAAATTTTATAAACTGATTTGTTTTAATTTTTTTTTTTTTTTTTTAAAAGTGCTCTATGTTGCTCTGGCTCCATGGATCAGGATACCACCGACAGTTTTAAGAATCATTACATATTTGTATTGTTTAAGTGAACGACAATCTCCTCCCTCCCTCTTTATACCTCCTCTCTTTTCCCTTCCTCTTCCTGCTCCTTCCTTTGCCCTTGCCCTGTGCTGCTTGCTGTTGTGGTAAATATGAGACCAGGCAAACCCCAAAGGCCAGTTTACATTTTTATGTTTTGTTTTTGCAGATCTCCATCACAGATGGAATTTTTGCTGGTCATTTCTTGGAACAAATCCATTAGCAGGACAAACCGAAAGAAGAGAGGGCAGTGAAAACAAACCCCATGACAGAGATGGAGGAAAGAAGAATCAATAAACAAGCAGAAATCAGTTTTCCACCGGGGTGGGATTTGCTAAGGGCTGGCTCACGATGACTTGCACCACGTAGTCCTTTGGGATTTTCAGCTCCTCCAGTTTCATTTTGTCTGCCAGCGGCCTGCCCGAGAAGAACCAGCGCTGGCTGCCCGGCTCCACTCCCTCCACCGCGTGCAGCCGCCTCTTCATGTGGTACACCGTGTCCATGCTGCGGACCATGAGTTTGAGGTCTTTGCCTGTGGACAGGCGCAAACGAAGCTGGCATTCGTGCCCTGAATTGGGTGGGGGATCAGGAATATCCAGAGTCTCCAGGTCGCCCTTCTCCTCTATCATGTTGATAGGTGGGGCGAGGCAGTAGACGGGAAGCTGGTACCGGTTGCCCAGTTCATCGTAACACTCTGTAAGAGCACCTTTAGGAGATAAAAAGGGAAAAATTGAGTATGAATGCGTTTCATATTTAACACTGAACAGGTTACACTTGGAAGCATTTACCCTACTGTTAAATCATCCGAGCGATGTGGTCTGAGTTCAGGCTTTAAAGGCTTGATACAAAAATCTCAAGTTTTCATTAAAAACTGCTTCACCTTGTTTTCATATGGAAACTTGGGGTTGAGTTAAAAGCCAAACGCACCCCTCCCTCCAGATAAACTAGGATAAACTTCAAAAGCGGCAGGAAGGAAGAGACAAGAGAGGATGATGTTCTCCCCATATTCAGGGCACATGTACACCCAGAAAATGCTACCTGGATGAATTACACGATCCTGAACCTGAGCTGTGGAGAGGCAAAATGGCAAAGACCAAAGGCAAAAGATCACTGTGAAAGAAAGATTTTCTAACTTCTCAGACATTCAAATATCGCTGAAACAGTTTCATATAGGACTCATGTTTTAGTGAGCACTGCCAGAACAAACAAACATGACCACCCAAGTCGGACAACTCTGTGGCTCCGTATGGAACGCCGCGTCACCACCAGAGCCGTGACACCCAGCACACACTTTATATTTGCACAGCATCTGCAACTCCCATATGCAAAGCCCTGAAGTTTCAGGAGTGATTTTTCTTTCCCCAGACTCCTGAGAGGTTCCTCGGGATAATCGGGGTGTTCGTGTTAACGATGACCGAGCAGCGGTGTGCTGCCTCGCAACTTATCGAGATGGTGCAACACGCACACAACAGCTCAAAAATTGTAACACTTACTGAAGTAACAAATACAAGCTGACTCTTTCACAGTATGAGACAGACTTTATAAAGATATTTCAAGAACTACCCTGGAAAAATGGCAGCACATTTTTCATAATGCTTTAAGAGTTAAAGTAAGAAAAGGCTGAAAGCAGAGCTCTGCTGCATACAGCGCACGTCACTTCTTGCAGCGAGCCAGGAAACAGAGATGCTGAGGAAGCTGCATTCTAAATCACAGCAGAAATCCCTTCTCACTGTGGTTAAACAACCGCAGATATTCACACTCCAAGCAGATGCTTCTCCCCTGTTTTGAATTTACCTGCTGTAACAGATTTCCACATTTTTGCCCCTAGAGGAGGCACATTCACTTGCAAGGTACCCATCCTGGTGTAGCTGGAAATGTTTGAAGAGGAGCCAAGTCCTTGAGCTACGGAGTATTTTAAAAACTCTTTGACTCGGCAGTTCTGCACACAACACCCAACTGCTCCTTGTTAGAAACTCAGAGCGGTTTTTTTACTTGGAGGTTTTTTCATGCTGACAGTGAGTTGTCTTAAACTTTGCTGTTTGATCAGCAAAATTACCGCAATACAAAATTGTAACTTGGGGATATACTGTGTCACTCAGCCCACTGTGACAGCAGCATCTTGAGCTGGAAATCTCCTTTCTTTTAGACAGAAGCTCCCCTTTTTTAAGGTTAATTTACGTTGATGAAAACACACAGAAGAAATCTTTGGCTAAAAGATCAATGGTTCAGGTGCAGCTGCTTTTGGACACTTTTCTGTTTCTACAGCTAGCACCAAGGCAGCCATGCCCTGAGATTTATTGAGAAAACAAAACAAAAAAAGGAAATCCAGAAAAATATAGTTATACCACTTATTACAGTCTTGTATCATTTATGAAGCTCAGAGGAAACCCACTTTTATCAAAACTGTATCAGATCCATACCTTTTATGGTACTTTGTGATTTACAGACTAAAGCCTGAAGTTCCCGTACTTCAATTTTGTTTTACAATGTTCATTTCATTCTGTACGCCTGATCTATTTAGTAAATGTCACAGCACTAAATTCTGGATCACAGTTCACAGAACTAAGCAGATGTAGTTTGCTGGGAAAAAAAAGAAAAATCCAAACCTTAACAGCCTTTAAGTTGAGCCAGAGCAGAGAAACTTCTTTAAAAGCTGCGTATCTTAAAAAGAATGCTCCTGCTTTAGAATAGCATATCAAAGAGATAATTTTGAATACCATGGCATATGCTTGCTAAGGAATTTCTTCATCATTTATGTCCTTGCCCAGTTGAACTAACATCAAGGTCAAAGCATATGCTATAAACGCTGAACTGCTTAATCATAGTCAGATAAGCAATATTTAAAAAATCCTCTGAAACAGTAGCTAACTTGGAGGTCTGTCTTTTAAAGGACAAAAAAAAGGGACAAAAAAAAAGACAGAGTAGAGGAAACCTCTCGCCACTAATAACTGCACAGTCCCATCCTAGGCAAGAAATGGTTTATAACAAATTGTTACCGTAACAACAGGCTACCATAAACGTCACCAGTAATCCCATTCTTCCACTCACACTGGTAGAAGTATCCCTAAGACTCTTAAGTCCTATTACCTAACACTCAATGGCTTTAAAGACTGGATATATTGATTAAAGCACAGAAGACAACTGTTATGAGCAGAAGAGACTTTATGATGGCACCATCTCCTTACCGGCACACCGTGCTTGCGGAAGGCCAAGCCGGAGTTCCAGGGAGGAGATGAGGAGGTGTTGGTCCTCACCTGCAAAGAGACAGGAGCTGTGCACACACAGCCCAGTCCTCTTCAACCAGCTAATTCCCAGTGGGCTTTACATTAAGTGATCTTTGGAGAGGGTCAGGCTCTGCTACAACCTTCAAGATGTCATAAATGGCAACAAACTCAAAGGCAGAACGCAAAGGGGCGTTACGTTGGTTGGAGTTCAAATGTGAAACAATTGCTGAAGGTGTTAACCAGAAGGCACGGTGAGTGTGGAGCTATTTTAAGCGATGCAGGCAAACACAAGTTATCGGAGAGGAAGAGAGAAAGTGGTTGAATTACCCGCAGCCACCATGGCGAGGCCTATCATCCCCAGCCAGATGGCAGCTCTTCACCGAGGCATTTGCTGCAGCATCCCTTACGCAGTGCAAAGCATGCAGGAAATTAAACATCTGAACTACAAAACCCTTTGTAATTTTGCTGGTTTAATTGAAAACCATGTTTCAGATCCTTTCTGCAAGATACATCAGCTTGGATGACACAAGTTATTCAGCAGGAAGGGGTACTAAAAGAATGTCAAGCTTTTATGAGAAAAGACAGGGAGAAAAGAAAAAAAATATTTTTAAGGTTTTCCTGTTACCTAGGCAACCAGGGTCCTCACCAACCAGCTACAGCACATGAAGGATGCAGCCTTCCTTAAACCAGAGAAGGAAAAAGGAACACAAACAGAGGTTTCACAGTCCATGCAGGCAGCCCAGTGCCCTCCCCTGCCAGCACCGTGCTCTGCTGGTGGCCAAGGTGCCCAGAGGTGTGCGAGGACAGCCCGCTCGCAGCCCTGCTCAGGGAGGTTTCCCCTTCCTTCCTCCAATCCTGCAGCTGGACACTGCAACAGATGACCAGACCAAGTTCAGATACGAAAGGGTGAGCTGGTACTTTGAATTTTCACTGCTGGATCATATAAAGAAACCACGTAAGAGGGGCAGATTTCAGGAAGAAAGCAGCATAGAGGATGGGTGGCAGGCATGCAGGTCTAGGTGAAGGATTCTGTGCTGGACATGAAAGATCAAGACGTTATAGAAATATTGTAGAACAGTATTGAAGAGAGGACAAATTAAGCTTATCAATACTTCATATACTTGAGTATTCTCTGTGCATTTCAATACTCCTCTAGATGTTCATGAGGTTCTCAAGCCTATCCAGAGGGACCTTGACAGGCTGGAAAGGTGGGTCTGTGCAAACCTCATGAAATTCAGTAAGGCCAAGTGCAAGGTCCTGCACCTGGGTCAGGGCAATCCCAAGCACAAATCCAGGCTGGGCAGAGAATGGATTGAGAGCAGCCCTGAGGAGAAGGACTTGGGGGTATTGGTTGATAAGAAGCTCAACATGACCCAGCAATGTATGCCTGCAGCCCAGAAAGCCAACCGTACCCTGGGCTGCATCCCAAGCAGCGTGACCAGCAGGTCAAGGGAGGGGATTCTGCCCCTCTGCTCCGCTCTGATGAGACCCCCCCCCGCAGTACTGCCTTCAACTCGGGGGTCCTCAGCACAAGAAGGACATGGACCTGTTGGGGCAAGTCCAGAGGAGGCCACGAAGATGATCTGAGGGCTGGAGCACCTCTCCTGTGAGGACAGGCTGAGAGAGTTGGGGTTGTTCAGCCTGGAGAAGAGAAGACTCCAGGAAGACCTTAGAGAGGCCTTCCAGTACCTACAGGGGCCTACAAGAAAGCTGGGGAAGGACTTTTTACAGGGGCATGGAGTGATGGGACATGGGACAACGGCTTTAAACTGGAAGAGGAAAGATTTAGATGAGATATGAGGAAGAAATTCTTCACCATGAGGGTGATAAGGCACTGGGACAGGTTGCCCAGAGAAGCTGTGGATGCCCCATCCCTGGAAGTGTTCAAGGCCAGGCTGGATTGTGCTTTCAGCAACCTGGTCTGGTGGAAGGTGTCCCTGCCCATGGCAGGGGGTTGGAACTGGATGATCCTTAAGGTCCTTTCCAACCCAAACCATTCTATGATTCTATGTTGATATGACTTTAATAAACTTGGACATAAAAACATCCTGGTAGCAACATGAAGAACTGCCTGTGAGGAAAGTCAATAAGAGAACCAACCAACAAACCAATCCACCCACCCAAACCCTAATCCTCTCCAACTTTCTATCATTCACAATTAAGATGCCATGGCACGTGATCTAAGGAGTGCTTTGAGGATCTCATTGACCGATTCATTATTCTGAAAAGTTCCTAGTTAAAGACTTACACTGTCAAGCAAGCTCTAGAGTCATTCAGTATCAATGCTGCAACACAGTTACGGAGTTTATAGGCTTATTCAAGTCAGACAGAACAGAAGATACGATGCTAGAACCACAGCAGATGGGATTATTTTAATATTTCAAAAGTGGTATCAGCTTGGAGACTGAGGAATTCTGGAAGGAGGTGCGAGGCAGAGCTTCTTGTTGGTTGTTATCCAGGTAGGAGACAGCTTGAGAGTTTT